TTATAGTGAATTACTTCAACTTGTTGGTTTCGGTCTGCAAAATAGTTTTTGATCCAGTTTAGGGCTTTCCCTGTAATATTTAATTGCTCTAGCTTATTTATTAGAATATTGTGGTCCAAACTGTCAAAAGCTTTTTGCAAATCTAAAAAAATTGCAGAGACATGTTGTTTGGTTTCCCAGAAGGAGGTGATTCGCAAAGTTTGTTGAGGGCGGTGTCGATGGACTTATTCTTCCTGAAGCCGTGTTGTTGTTGTGAGAGTATTTCTAGTTTATTTAAATGTTCCATAATTCGAAAGTAGATAATCTTCTCAAGGTATTTGGATAGTGTTGGTAATACTGATATGGGTCTGTAGTTTTCCATACAAGTGTTGTCGCCTTTCTTGTGTTTAGGGTAGACTGTAGCCAATTTCATTCTGTTCGGTACTATTGCTTGGTCTATTGAAGAGTTGATGATGTGGAGTAGAGGAAAAGCAATTTTTTGTTGACAATGTTTGATGATTTTATTTGAGATTTCATCAAATCCAGAGGATGTTTTTGTGGTAGTTGAAAAAATATTTGTTTTAGTTCATCCATTGTTACTGGTTTGAAGGTTGATAACTCATAGTTTCCTGTGTTTTTGTTTGTTGCCGGTTGATTGAGAGTAGGTTCGTTTTGGTTTTCTAAAGTATTTTTTCCCTGAGAGATAAAGTAGTTATTGAGGGTGTTGCTAATCAAAACTGGATCGTCTGAGAGAGTATTATCTATTTGTAAAGAGAGTGTTCTATGATTTTCATCAGGTTTGCTTGTCGTTTCTCTATTTATTACATTCCATATTTCGTTCATTTGGTTGCCAGAGTTTTTTATTCGATTTGTAGTGTGATTTGATTTTTTCTTTTTTATTTCACTATCGTAAATTTTCTTTAATTTGGTGTATGTGTTTTTATCTTTGTCTAGTCCGGTTAAGTTATTTTTATTTTGAGCTATGTTTAGGCTATCTTTAAGTTTTTTTAGTTTTTCATCCCAGAATCGGTTTGGGCATTTTGTTTTAATACTCCTCAAAGTTTTAGGCATTATTTCATCCATGTTCATTCTGATCGTCTGGATAAAAGCGTTATATTTGTTTTCAACAGAGTCGGTGTTAAATACGTCTTCCCAGGTTTCCTCTCCTAGCTTTTGTTTGAGTAAGTCAAGATTTTGTGTGGTTATAGGCCTGAGCATTCTTTTCAGAGCCCCAGTTTTGAGGGGTGAGAAGTTGTTGATTAACAGGGTTGGTACTAAATTTAGAAAATAAAATTCCCTTACTTTTCCAGGTTTTCCAGACTGATATTATACTTTTTCCAGGTATACCGTTTTAAGTCGATATCGACCAATCAAAACCAAGAAATATTAGAAAAATTTTTAATATTTAACTTATTTCATCACTCCCTAATTCAAAAATTGTTTCAAACTATACCAGGTGTCCAAAAAGTCCCGGGTCGGTTGAATATTTTTAGAAATATTTCAAATAAAGCTACAAAAGTTTCACAGATTTACTGGACATAAAAATCTATTTTATCACATATTCAGTGATCCGCTACTTCCTCAGGCGGACGACCCGCTAGAAGTCAGAAGAAAATCCCTAACGTAAGCATAGGTTGATATGCATACCATATAAAAGGTCTTTAGAGTACAGAACCGCAAACCCGACCTCAAACGGATGACCGATTAAAAAATGACAGCCATTCAAAGATTTCTAGAATCTGCCATTTTGAATCTTTAAAGTGTTGCCATTTTTTACCCAGATGTTATTTTGAGCTCAAATTTGCAGCTAGTGATGTGGGCCTTATTGCAGTGGGAGGGAACTTATAAAATGGAAATATTGCCAGGAATATTTCTTTGGCTCAAAACCGGAAAGATTCCAAAATTTTTGGAATTTATGAAAATTGTATAAATTTGAACGTTTTTAACATTAACTTATTGAAAGTTAAAGAACATTAAAACTATGTCACCTAAGTATATTCATACATTTTAATCTAAGAGTTGTCATTCCATGCATCAATTTCCTGTATACACAAATTAGAATTTTTGAAACTCAATGGATTTTAATTCTTAGAACTATTATAAAAAACTTGAGGTATTTATAAACAAAATATATTTTTTAGAACTCATGTTTAAACAAACATCCTTTGGTCAAACATAATCATAACAATATATATATTAAATACATAGATTTTTAAATTATATTTTTAATTGAATTACATTTTTTTAATTTAAAAAATCCCCTGTTTCAGCTTTAAAATTTAGCATTGTAAAGGAGTTAGGCCCACAACTTTCAACATTGCCAAACTAGAACTAGGCCTAGTACATTAAAGTTTTAACAAACAAAAGGGGAATTAAAGCTAATAATTACTTAATTATTTGAATTTTATAACATTGAAAACCAAAAGATTTTTTTCTAACAAAGAGGTTAAGCAAACAAAAGTTTGCCAGATGAGTAGGCCTAAACATTAAGCTATATTTGATCTGCAACTAAAAATAGGAGTGTTCGAATATAAAAAAAGTATGATAAAAATTGATCATAACCACAGTTTAGTTCTTAAGAGTAATTTAATTGGAATAAGCTGAAATGGGGAAATATGGTTCTTACTAGGTAAGAGGGAATTTTTTCCCTCTAACACTTATATGATATCTTCGCTTTCTGTATAATTATATATTCCGTATTCCGCCTGATAATTTTATCCTCATCCTCTATACCTCCCCAAAGAAACTTACTCTTGAGAATAAGCCTTACGCTTGACTTTCTAAATGCATCTGCTGAGCACAATCACAAACAAAACCTATGGCATCAAGTAGCTCGATAGGGACAAGGAAACTGCCTCTCATATTAGTGTGCAGCATCAATAGTGTGAGATGGATCGATCCAAAAGCAAATTTTTTCTCTCAATGCGGTGATGCAGTTTTTAAGGGTTGAAGGGCCCTTAAAACCTTTTGGTTTTTAATACGTAGTCTTAATTTGATATGTTAAATTAACAGTTTTATTAATTTTTTTTATTTTATCTACTGGGTATTTACTAGGTTATTTTTCTGATTTGAGTATTAAATCAATTATAATATTTTTTGAACATAAGAGTGTTTGAGTTTTGTTTAATCATACAACTACCACAATGACCTATTAATTTCAGCAATTAATTTAGCTTATAAAATGATAAATTAGCAGTTATTTATTTCAATTACAATTTTGAACTAAAATATATTTAAGTTTTTGAGGTTGATTTAACCATATAATCACGGCTTTTACCTCTTAAACAGAGTATAAACCTACCTTGCTAGTTAATCATAAATTGTATTGAGAAGCGCTCAAGAATAAAGGCATTTTGATTTGATTTGATTTGATTCCTGGGAATTAATGAATTTTGGGAATATTGCCGGCAATATTCCCTGGGAATAGTGGGAATGTTTCCTTGATTTTAAATTCCCGAGAATTTTACATCACTATTTGCAGCATTGTATTCTACATATAGCCTAAAGACCTTTAATTTGATGTGAATTGACCTATGCTTACGTTTGATTTTCTTCCGACTTCTAGCGGCCCCTGAGGAGGTAGCATATAATAGCATTGCAAATTAAATGAATCTTTGGACAGATGTCATTTTTGACTCAGGTGTCCGTTTGAGTTTGTGTTTGTAGCATTGTATTTTACTAACAAAGACCTTTAATTTTATGTGAATATCAACCTATGCTTACATTTAAGATTTTCTTCTGACTCCTAGCGGGCCGTACCCCTGAGGAAGTAGCGGATCACTCAACATGAAATAAAACAGATTTTTACGTCCAGTAACTTTGTGCAAAGTTTTAAAGCTCTATTTTAAATAACTTATTTCAAAAATATTTAACCAACCCAGGAATTTTTGGACACCCTATACATATCAATTCCTCCCCCGTACCGATAACTAACTATCGATATAAAAATGTGCATCAGTGCTTATGTCGTTCTTTTTACCATAAGTCATCACCCAGATAAAAACATGTTTAGAGCAAAATGTAGCATAGGCTATCTGTAAAAAGTTAGTTTTTCAGGAGAAATTCCAGAATTCCCTGACTTTTCCAGACCAACCAAATTCCCTGACTTTTCCAGGTTTTCCCTGACCGTACCAACCCTGATTAAGCATGATATTATTTCATGATCGGAGATGGTGTTTTGATGAGTTTTAGCTAACATAAAGTTTGGTTCTATGTTTGCTGCACAGATATCTAAGCGGTTTTGTGAAGTTGGGGTTATTCTTGTATAGGCGGTTTTTATCAAATTTATTTTGTGTGATTTTAGAAGATTTTTAAGTTGTACTACTTCACTATCATTTTCGTTTTGGAGTTTGAAGTTTACATCTCCTAGGATGATTATGTGTTTCCTTTTACTTGAAAAACGTTGTAAAAAGCTGTCGGTAATTTCAAAAAATTCATACGGGTTGTGGTTTGGTGATCTATAGAGACCTATTATTAAAAGGCTTTGTTTTGTCTTTTTAAGTTCTATGGCTGCTATCTCTGCTGTTAATTCTTGGCTAAGTTCAGATGTGGGTATAGGAGTAATTGCTTTTGAGGCTATGTTGTTTTTTACATATGGCTATACCACTCCATAATTAATAACTAGTGGTTGTCCTGTGGTCGAAACTCGACCAAAAATAATTAATGTACTGACTTCTCTATTTTCTCCCCACACTGTAAATAAAACATGCGATTGGAATTTCTTCCATTTGTTTTGATTTTCTGTTTACTTTTTGTTGTTATTTCGTCACCATCATAGCAACCCATATGGTCCATGTTAATTTTTTGAAGTTTTCAAATTAATTTTTTGTGCTTATTTGTTAGCCTATTTTAATTTTTAGAGGCATTCTGCACATCTACAGGTAAATATCTTTCCAACAGTATGCGTAGATTTTCCCTGCGATGCACACGACCTGAGAAAAAAGGTTTCAAAGAAACATGCTTGCCTATTAATATATAGATAGATACCTACAATTATATGGAAAATTTATGATATAACTTACCCGGGTATTACAACCTTCAATTGCCAGCAATTCTTTCAACAACGGCACAATTAATTGTGGATATCGGCTTTCTGAAAATGATTATATAAAAATAAGACAAGGTGATTGCATATTGATAAAATCAATTAAGTAAGTTAATAATCAACAGTTTTTAATAAAGGTGCAAGGCCTAACTATTTGTTTTTCACTGTTTTTTCACCTGTTTTTCACACTAGGCCAAATAGGCCTAATATTTTAAGGTGAATAGAGAGAAAACATTAGGAAATTGGATGATGGAAAGGTGGAATGATGGATGGCTGGACTTAAACTTGTGGCCATTATAGAAGCGGTGCAATGGCAAGAACTTATGACAACTAATCTACAGAAATGTTGACGTCACGGCTGACACCCCTTTCTCTGAATGGTTGCTTCAACTTCGGTAGTCTTGTCTTCTCTGTGTAGAACATATACATTGGTTTGTGATATAGCCCAGTTTCAAGAACAGTTTTAATCAATTACCTTTTTGGTTTTTGTTGCCATGAAGTTCTTCTAGTTTTTTTTATGTCTGATGCGCATTTCGCCACATCCCCCGATTCCCTTACCATCCTGAACAGTACCCAGTCAAAACCACAGCCAAAATACAGGAAAGCTACCAAATCCATGTTACCGAATCTGGACCTGATAGCCTACTTAACATAAAAAAGGACTTCAATAATTCCACAATTTTTAAGACCATGTACGAAATAGAAACTAACTGATTTGGCAACCCCGCAGATATTAGACAATGTCGCAGATACAACAATTCTGGGAAATCCACACCCCAACCCGTCCAGCCCCCAGACACTGTCTCTGTCAGTCTAACAACGTTCCCGGCACAAGCAAACTTCCTGCGCTCGCAACACACGCCCACCGCACCGAGAGTGCAAACGCTACGATGTGAACCGGTACAGTGACTATCGTGTATATATATTAGAATGTAAGTGTAGGATAGTAAACTCTGAAGTGATGCTACAACATGTGGTGAAATGCGCATCAGACATAAAAAAACTACAAGAACTTCATGGCAACAAAAACCAAAAATGTAATATACTTTGGAAAGACCTGAATAATTAGCCTACCTATTAATCCTTGAGCGGGCGGTTGTGGAGTTTTCCACGCGCACTTGTAGTTTTTGTTAAAATAATTATGCAAAATAGGTGTCTTGTCCGGCTCCATACTTCATGCACTTCATCCCGGGAATGACCCTAAGCTATTTTTACCCCCAAATTCCTCCTCATTTTGTTGTTGGTTGCAATTCAGTGACCCGGTGTCAGTTTGTGGAGGTTTTCATTGCAGAGGCCCTATCGCGTAAATCCTTAGCACGGAGTTCATTTCCTCATGCACTCTTCTGTGTTAGTGGTGATGGTTTTAGTTGTGTCTGTTAGTGAAGTAGACTATATAACTATTTGGTGATGCCTTTTTATATTTGACTGATGCCACTATGGATGTATTAGAAAAGGAGAAAATGTGAGTATTGCTTGATAGTGTCAAAAGGGAAGAAAGAATAGAAGAAATACAACCAAAACGAGATTTTGATCAGGGTATTACTCATTTAAATTTTATGTAGCCTACTCATTTGTGTACTGTACTTTAATTTATATTACATATATTTTTTGTTAAAACCCTTTAGAGACCGACCATATGACTGGCTGCGTAGGAAGAAATAGAAAAAATGATAACTTTTGAATAGCAGCCCTTGTTAACATTTCTGGCATGCTGTTGTTAATTTTTTTCCTTTTTGGATTTTTAATTTTTTTTAGATAGGTAACTGTTGATTTAAACTGCTGGTATATCGGAAGTTTGTATTTTTAGCAAAAAAAAAAACCAACTTCTGAAAAATCGGAAGTGGACTCCTAAGGGTTAATACAGGGTGAGGCGATGAGAACGCTACAATTTGTTTTACCTGTCACATGTTAATTGTTGCAACAATGAATGATCAGCTGTGCTTAAAACATCAATTAAACTATGCCATTTTAGTAAATATTATGCCTGAGGCTATTAACACTGAGATTTTGATGTGGAAACCTATTTATAAAATAGTGGTTCTTGTGCAAAAACTCACGAGATTGTTTGGACCGTATTCCATCCTTGGTCAACATGGCACTGTTCCAGATTGGAAAACAATGTTGAACTGGGTAAAATTATTTAGGATAATCGCTTAAACAAAAAAAAATATTCGGTGGGTGCCGCAAAATTTTTTGCAAATGTTAAAATAATATGAGGCCCAGTAACTCAAAGTCCGAAGAGAATTGCCAGGAAGCTTTTGTTGTTGAAAGCTTTACGTTGGCTAATTTTTTTGGGAGGGGGGGGGGGGGGGGGGGTTGTTCTAATAAGCTACTTGACGTTTTAGGTTTTTCAAAGTCACCCCACAGATTTGTTTGAACCGAATCTAAGGATAGTCCAAAAACTATAGTGATTCCTGAAGAAGTGCTGGAGGAGTATTTGATGGAGTTTCAAGTGGCTAAAAAGGAATGTCAAGTAGGACAATGAAGTCACTTGTAGGATTTTGTTCTCAAGAAATGGAAAAATGACTTTGTTAAGTTAAAATGGCAAAAGATAAGCTGTGTTTTGGTGTGCTATTTATATCCATAGGGTGAATATTATTGAGTTTGTACTGTTTATAAATTGGGGCATTTTCATTGCCCCACCCTGTATATAGTATTAATTAATTCAATTGTTTAGTACACATAACCGAACTTCACAATTGATGTTTTATTATTTATATTTGTTTATATCATATTATTATGTTGTTTATTAAATATACATGTAAAATTTGTCAAACTGTGTGTATATTATATACATACGAAAATATAAACATGTTTAAATGTATTATTTTATTTATAATTAATATCAAATATATTTTGTTTGCATGTATTTAATTGTATTACTAGAAAACCTAACTCCACAAGCGCCCTCTCTCAGAACACCGACAGTGATACCTTAGCCTATTTGAAATAATGTTATTAACAATGAAATTAGGTTCCTGATCATGTTATCAAAATTTACATACAATATTGTGTTATAAAAACAAGTAAAATGGGTAAAATTTGTTCTATTCAGTGTTGCGGAATTAAACTCTGCATGCGCCCGATCTTGTTATACTGGTGAAGCGCCTGCTTAAGGGTTAAGAGTAGACGTCCTAACGGGACCGCGTCTCGTTGTCCCGCCGTCTAGTTGTACCTACGTCTACTTGTACCTCGAGGCCTAGGGACAACTAGTCGTAGGTACAACTAGACGTAGGTACAAGTAGACGGTGGCACACCCGACTAGTTGTACCTGCAGATTTTTAGGAGGTACAACTAGACATAGGTACAAGTAGACGTAGGTACAACTAGACGTGTATCCCACCGACAAGTAGTATCACCTAGCTTGTACGGATGCGACCAGTTGTCCCTACGACTAGTGGTCCCTACGACTAGTGGTCCCTACGTCTAGTTTTACCTACGTCTAGTTGTACCTACGACTAGTTGTACCTACGCGTATTTTGCGTCCTTATATAGTCTAGTTGTATCTATCCTTCAATTCATTACCCTGTTTAATTGATTACTGCACGAGTACTTTTTAATAAAATACCCTTAATTAAATCAGAAACTGCAGTGTTCCGAGTCAATTGAGTATGATGGGGCGATGTCTACTTGTACCGGCGTCTAGTTGTACCTGCTGCATTTTGGTGACAGGCGTCTAGTTGTACCTCGTCCAAAGCTGTAGGTACAACTTGACGATGGTGCGGACGTCTAGTTGTACCTACGTCTAGTTGTCTTTACGTCTAGTTGTACCTCTTAAAAATCTACAGGTACAACTAGTCGGGTACGCCACCGTCTACTTGTACCTCATACGTCTGCGTCTACTTGTACCTACGACTACTTGTACCTACGACTACTTGTACCTACGACTAGTTGTACCTACGCCTACTTGTACCTACGTCTAGTTGTACCTACGGCTAGTTGTATCTCCCCTTCAACTTGTCACCAGTTTAAGGGATTTATTTTATTTCTTTAAAAATCGTACAATCTTACAACAATTTTTTATAAACAACTTGCTACAAAAGCCAGGAAAATTTGGCTTGTCTGCAGCTCATTGAGAAACCCCTGTTCTTGATAACAATGTACTTGTGTCCCTTATCCATATTACACTTTGGTTTTCCTTATTTCTTGTCAAGATCTGCTATCATTGTTTTTTCCACTTAAACTCTACCTTTCTATAGAAAACTAACATTAACTAGCTTAAACAACAACTTTAAACAATTATCTTAAATAAATAAATTCAGAGTTTACACAAACAAGTAATTGAGTATAATGAAGTGTTTTTGTATGGTATTAGTCACGGAGAATATTACAACAAGTTCAAATTAAAAATTTATATGTTATTCTTATGGATATTACGTAAACTGGCGTAGTTTGGTTGTTGATGCATATACTTTGACAAATTAGTTTATTTCACACTTAACTACTAACTTTTCTCAAAAACACATCTTAATTACCTTCTACGTTGTTTTAGTCAAAGCTTCTACGCAAACGTAAATAAAGCTCAGTATTGAAATACCATTGAAATGCCAGGATTGATAACTATAATAGTGGTAGTTAATTGTGTTACAAGACTATGACAAATTGCTAATTATTGAGTCAACTCGGTCCCCACGCACAGGCTTCGCATATGTGGGCCCTGTCGATTTTCAGAAATTACGTTAATTCTGTATCTATTATTCTTTTGTAATGAATTGCTTTTGATTTTATTTATTTGGTTAAATTTTACTATGGTATTTTGCCGGACAAACTTCATTAAGCATATAGCACGGGTCGAGGTTAATTTAACTACTTGTAATTAACCTAATTCATTCAACGATAGTTTGCCGGAAAACTATTTTACTAATCTATAATATTAAAAGGAAATAGGATTTTTTTATTTCACGATTCTGAATTAACCACTTGACGGATTTTTATGATGTTTGTGTTGAAAGAAAGATCATTTTGAGAACTAGGGAATGTCGAAGCCATAATTTTAATTTAGGGTTTCAGTTTTTTAGAAATTAAGTTTTAATTTTTTTAAAGTCTAG